ATGCTGATAAAATTTTTAAAATTTTATTTATTTTCGAACCCAAATAAGAAAACTTCTTGTATGAAACAGGGAAAATACGTGTTCAGCAATATAACAGATCAAAAGACGGTAGGATGTGAATGTGATGTTGTTGCGCAGTCCGGATCTTTTTGACTTCAACTTCAGCACCTATACCCATATTTCGTTAGTTTTCAAAAAAAGTTGACTTGAATAGACGATTTTGACGATTGCTTTTGATCTTAAACTATTGTTTCGTAATCTTTTGTGCATATTTATTCGAAAGGTGATATTTCCTCAGTCTTTTTTCCTAAAGAAAAGAAATACAACTGTTTATGGCCAAAAACAACTGTAGTAAATTTTTCAAGAATGACGAATAACACTTCAGGTAATATCTACAACAGAGCGCGAACATTTCCAACCTCGTTCAACAAGGATTAGTTGCACGCAAAATATTGATAAAAAAATGGATAAAATCAAGTGTAATTATTTGTAATAGATGTCATCGAGAAACTAACTCGTACACCAATTATAATCGATTTTAATCGGATTATTTTCCTTGCTTTTTTTGCATGGGTCATACCTTCCATGAGTGCAAAATTTCTAAGTTCTCTTAAGTTCTCTTTCCTGAATAGGGATGTATACATTTATACGTAACCTTAGTATGTATTAATTAGTGAAGTTTCTCTAGTGTTGTTTCCCCTTAAAGGAAATTCATTTTATTGAAGAAAGATCGTTTTATGCGACTGTGTTGGAAGTGTAAGATGGGCTTGTGATGAGTCTAGATGTGCCTCTCTAGTGGTCACATGCTGTAGCATCTCTCTTCTGTGGTAGGAGTTCTGACACTGATGTTTTTAAGACACACAGTTGACTAATATTATTTGATTAGATGAGATGTTTTCTAATGCTCGTAGCCTTCATTTCAGGATATAAGTTTTATCTTACTTTTTGAATGCATTTCATTTGATTCTTTCATATGAGAGTCTTCTTCTGAAGAGTTATGATTTAGTTCTTCCATATCTAGTTCATAACGTCGTGGAGATTTTGATTTTTTCGATTGATTATAATCAGTTGTTGAAAAACATTCATCGGAATCACATTTATCACCCCTCTTTAAAAGATCTACATTCATCTCTACTTGACATTTCATTTTATTTGGTACACTATTTGAATAATATTTATCATGTAATCGATAAATTAGACTTTGAAGATATTTTACTGATCGTTGATGAATAAGATATGCAACAGTTGATGATGAATTTTTATCTTGACCTTCATTCAATATGATCCGTGAAATATGTTCATCTTTTACTTTTAATAATTTCACTAGTCCTTCCTTGTTTGCTGTTATTGGAAGATTACTTATTCTTAGTCGATAAAAATTACTTTTACATTCTATAGAACAAATAAAACAAAGTGCAAAATAATTACCTTATTTATCAGTAAACTAACCTTCATCGTCATCTTCAATATTTGATGTTACTTGTCGTTTTCGACTATGCCCATAAGGACATTGTTCATCAGGACAATTCTCCGGTTGATTGCACATAATATGTTTAAAAAAACATTTAATTTCATAATTACATAAGCCGGTTCTATAATTTCTACATAATTCAAACGGATAAATTGGTTCAGAAGTAACATCACACTTTATTTGAAATCCGTGTAATGTTTTATTTGAATTTTTATTAGCTAAATTTCGTGCTTGTCTCTCATCACCAATATTATTAATCCAAGCTTCACTATCTACTGATTTGTCTGATGCTAAAGATTCATAACGTCGAAATCCTGGTTTAATAACAATATTGGCAACAGGTTTATTAAATATTTGCGACAACTCTTCACCTGTTACATCAGGAGGTATATTAGTTACATGAATACAAAATGGAATTCCAGTACTACGAATAATATTACCTTAAATAAATCAAAAAAATATTTTTGTTTGATTAATTCGGTATTTAAATGAAAATATTTCTTTCTTTTTAATAATTATTTGTACTTAGGTGTATCCAAAAGTAGTGTCGGCCGCATCTCAATTTCTTATAGAAGGCTTGAAGAAGTTTTCTTTTTTTGTGAGGTGATAGAGAAAACGAAGCTCTATTTTTCTATGCTATTGCATCCCTATTCAACTGTTATCATAATAATAAAACTTTTAGAAGAACTATTTTTGTGTAAAACTTCACTTACGCGTAACTACTCTTTCCATTTTAATTTCTAATTATTTAATACGTTATATTAAACAATAAAATATACCATAAGATGCGGCGTGAAAAGCTCTACAATTTATAAAGAGCAGATTATTTTATATATGAAATAAGAAAAAGGAATTCTTCTTCGTATGACTTTTTTGAGGCAGCGAAAATTGGTCACACAGGATTTCGTTTTTTTTTTGGTACAATTAAAATAAGCTTTACTTTGTAGATTGTAGAGCTTTTTACGCTGCATCTTGTGGTATATTTTGTTTTCTAATACAGCGTATTAAGTGATTGAAACACTTAAGCCCCCCCCCCCCCCCCTCAAAATTCGATCTCAGCTCCAGAACATCGTGATAGCATGACACTTTGGGGATATGTTGGAGATGTAAAAGTGCGTCTATGATAAAATTTTCAGCCTCCTATCCTGATGCACAAGGTAGATACGAACCAAAAAAGGGTCGAAAAATAGCTTATTGCCGCCCCCAAATTTCTTTATGGGTATTCATTCAATATGGTTCATGGTTTTTTCACATGAAAGAGCATATCAGGATGCAGTGCCTCTGAGGGCCCTTTATTTTTATTCGTATTTTTAATAAGAAAAAAAAAGCTTCACAAATTCAATCACTCAAAAAGTCTTCAAAAAAATCATGCTTGTGCTATAAAGTCGCTTTTCAAAATAATAAGAAGAAAGCTTTATCAAAAAAAGGCCCTCAGAGGCACTGCATTCTGACATGCTCTTTCAAACAAAAAAAAATATTTGACTTTATATCGGATTATAACTGACTTTTCGTGGGTACGCGTCATTTGACTACAATGTTGAGAAAACAAGAAAAAAAATTTTGAATGTTTTCAAAAACCGCTGCTTTTTCGAATAGGGGTTGTTGAAAATCTTTAAAATTTCTGAAAAAAAAGCGGTACCGAAGAAAAATTTTTATCGTTTATATAAGGGCAAATGATAGGCTATATCCCTGTATATTTATCTCAATCACCATGATTTTGACGAAAAGTGACTTTTTTGAGGAGGGGCCTTAATCTGCCTCACCCATTAGTGAAGTTTTACATAAAAATAGTTCGTCTAGAAATTTTATTATTATGATAACAGTTGAATAGGGATGCAATAGCACAGAAAAATAGAGCTTCGTTGTCTCTATCACCTCATGAAAAAAAAACTTCCTCAGGCCTTCTAGAAGAAATTGAGATCTCGGATTTATATCCGAGAGTATGTGTACTTCAAAAAGTGAATGAGACAAATCAGTCATCTTAGAATGTCTGGATATAAAAATTTGCCTGGGAAACCTTTTCTATCAACCCTTGAATTCCATTGGCTACTGCTCAATCAATAGGACTCGGAAGCGTATACAGCTCAGATTTGAACTCTTCGGCTTAACTTAGCCTCAGAAAGTCGTTTTTCCTACAACTTGATTTCTATTGGTCAAGGCTCAACCAATGGGCCTTCGGCGCAAGTGGAGTAGAGATTCGAGTTATCCATACTAGAAAACCTTCGATTATCACCTCTATGATCGGAAGATAGAGTTCCAATTGGGGACCGCTTGGAGCGTGCACAAAAACCGAACCGATTCCCACTTATTTATCTTACCAATAGGTGAGTTCATCTTCTTGTTTCTTAATGTTTTATATATCATTTTGTAGCTATTGAAATTCTCTATCGAATGGTAAATAATAGTTGGGGTTTTAATTGACTATGATAGGAAAAGTCTTTTACGAAAGTGGCGATGGGTCGATTTTTCCATAGGAAACCATAGGAGAAAATGGGTATTTTTGCAATAACTCAGGAACGGCTCGGTCAGTCCTTCTCATCTTCGAACTCGATCGAGATATTGTAAAGACTGAACCATGTAGAAAATTTCATCGTGATCGGACTCTCCTTTCAAAAGTTATCATGTAAACGGACGGCCGGACGGACACACTAACCGATTCTAGAATGTACTCACTTTTTGAATACACAAAAAAATCATTAAGTTAAATTTATTAAATCTAGATCTGTATTGCTGATTGTTTGTAACAACAACATGAAGCTTTCAAAAACTTACTTGTTTGAATGTTTCGAGTTTTTACAACGTCAATTATAATTCCATTGATTTCATGTGAAAGGTTAGTTAGAATGATTTGATCAACAATATCATAACTAAGAAGAGAAATTAATTGAATCTAGTTAATGATATAAATGTGAAATTAAAGAATATTACTGTTGAAATTTAAGAATTGCTTCATGTTCATCATTCCATTGAAAATTAATAATTTTACCGAATCTTCCAAAATATTCATTAATATTAGATTCAGTAAGATCTTTTAAGGTTTTCTTTTGATTATTTTTTTCAGATATTTTGATTAACAAAAACTGAGTCATGTTTCCTGACAGTGGAATATCTCTAGGATTATATCGTGATATACGAAAGGATTTATTATAAACTTTTATTGAACCAATCTTCATTAATTCATTCAATTTTCGTTCATTTTCGAAATTTAAATAAACTTTTCTTACTAGTGTGCCATCGTTATCTGTTCAATGAAGATTATTTTAACAAATTAAATAAACACATACACTTATTTGATAACTTACTATAAGGTTTACCCTCATGGAACTCAAATGAAACTATACCCATAATGTGTTGAATAGCTTCTTCAATATCTGCTTGTGTAATTGATGTATCAACATCATGTATTATGAGGGTAAGACGAATTAGTTGAAGTTTGTCTTTCGTTGCCATTTGTATATTTATATAGAAAAATGATGAATAATATCTTAAATGAAATTAAAAGACGTGAAAATTTATCTTTCTCTGATGAATAGCAAGTGCGATCAAGAGCGTTAGTATAGTCAAACCAACAAGTGACAGAGAGAACATGAATGTCGATGTGGGTGTGGATTAGACTTCTGCAAAATGGTCACGGTCACGGTCACGGTCACGGCCTCTCGTGACCATGACTGTGACTAGTTCTCGAAAAATTATCGTGACTGGGGTCGTGACCGTGACCAAGTGTCTCGTGACCGTGACCAAATAGCTCATGATCGTGACCGAATAGCTCGTGATCGTGACTTATTGGTGATAAATTTTAATATTAAAAATCTGATTTTTCGGAAAAAAGAAACAAGATTTGAATTGATTTACGAGTTTTCTTTGTTTTATTACAGAAGAAATCTACGAAATCAATTTAAATCTTTATTTTGTAGCACAAAAAGCAAGGTAGTAATCCAAAATCCCCGTGACCGTGACGTGACCGTGACTAGTTTCGGAAAATTTTCGTGACTATGAACGTAACCGTGACCAGACAGCTCGTGACCGTGACGTGACCGTGACCAGGCAGCTCGTGACCATGACGTGACGTGACTGAAAAATCGTGGTCACGCAGAAGTCTAGTGTGGATGTATGGGTGTGGATGTATGGGTGTGGATGTGGGTGGGTGTATGGGTGTGGGTATGGGTGGGTGTGGGTGAGTGTATGGGTGTGGGTGTGGGTGGGTGTATGGGTGTGGGTGTATGGGTGCGGGTGGGTGTGGCTTCGGGGTGTGGGTTTGGGTGTGGGTGGGTGTGGGTGTATGGGTGTGGGTGGGTGTGAGTTTGGGGTGTGGGTGTGGGTTTGGATGTGGGTGTGTGGGTGTGTGGGTGTGGGTATGGGTATGGGTGAATGTTAACAATCAAAGTGCCCACACCACACACCCACACCCGCACCCACACCGACCCACACCCACACCCACGCCCCTCACCCACACCCACACCCACGCCCCACACCCACACCCTTGTTTCGGCTGTGTTTCGAAAACAGGGATATTTTCGATACAAGCTAATAGCTCAGTAAGGGTACGTTTGTCCTGGCTCAAACTTTGGGAGTTTTCTAATGACTATGAGAGCTGTCTATGGACAAAATTTCAGCTCGAAATTCGATCATTCAGATTCTCATGGAATCTCATGTCTATAGACCAAAAATCCAGTAAAATGCCCATAAGTCAATAACAGAAGACCGGATAACCAAACCAAAATAGACTCGTTCACTGCTTACCAAAATCGATCGAATGGCAATAGAACCAAGCGAAAAGCGACTTGACAGTTGGGGATATTCCCTCGTGAGTCTTGTAGTTTCAATTCAATAGCTAATACTTTCTTTCAGAATAATCGTCAAGCATATGGAACACAAATCATTTTCATCTAACAAAATGACTGATTAAGTTGTTGAGTTGGAGAACGTATATGTAACGTTGCAAACCTTCTGAAATACGAGTATTGATATCATGCACTATGAACTGTAGAACTTCCTGTGAAATGAACCCGAGAAATCTAAATATAAAATTTATAGTAACATTCGAGTTTTGAAACAAAATGTAAATATGGAGACGTAAAAAAGATTTTACTTTATTGCACTGAATTCTGATACACAAGAGACTAGAAAATCTATTAGTGTGAATAGTAAAAATTTTCTCTATTGCTTGTCGGATCTACTCTGTTTAAAAATGTGTTGGCGTTAAGAAAAAGAAAATTGTAAATGATTCTAATGTTTCTTAATGAGAGAGTACATATAATTTTCTCTCTTTCGATATCGACTACTTACTATAGAGTTTCAATACAGTTTTGGAAATACACTTTTGATCTTTTAATACTGTATCAATTATGGCAAATACAATACCTAAGTCTTAATCGTAATATAAGCGATGTTCTGTATTTTTCGAATAGAGTATATAAATCTGAAAGTGCAACGCATAAAACAAATAAAAACAAGAATAAATAGAAAAGAAATGTGTCATTTTTATTTTTGAACTTTAGCAAGATTATCATCTTCTCACACTCTCCATCTCAGGACGGTAAAACACTTTTGATAACAAGATGAACTTTTATCTCCAAAATGATGATGAACTAAAAATAAGAAACAAATTGTAATTCATTAGATTCGTCCTAATCGGTATTCTTCTCATGCATATCCACACATGTGAAATTAACTTACTATCGATAGGATCAGTCTTTAAACAAAGCCAACAAAAAGAAATACCGCATTTACACTTGACTGCATTACATCCTTCATATCGATCAATAACCTGTTTACACGATGGGCACGGTTTCAGTTCCAAAATTCCTGTGAATCCAACATAAAAAGTAGTAAAAAACTTTTCATCTCAAATGATGCAAACTTACCTATATTTACCATTAATTCGCCTTCGTCTTTTTTCAATTTTAAAAGTTTTTGATATTGTTCACATGTTACACCCATATGAAACTCTACTTCACATTTAATACAATAAGTCTTGAGACATGTATCACAAAAGTATGAGTCTGGATGTTTTGATTTTCGGTAAACCTAAATTAAATAAAGTCAATTCTCATTCGAATATTTTAAGTATTGCTTGTTAGCAAAATAGGTAGCTGCTTTCTCAATAAAATCCAATTTCAAAATACTATTTGTCTTTCTTTTTAGGAGTATACCAAATCCAAGTCACGAACTCAGATCAAATGATCTAAAACACTGCTGAGATAGTTCTTTTGATACGAACTGATCTGATTGAACAGATTGTCTCGGAGAACTGATCTGTTCGAACAGTTCCATTTAAAAAACCCGATCTGCTCAAACAGATCTTCTGAGAGAACTGATCTTTTTCAACAATTCCTTGGAGAAGAACTGAACTGCATGAAGATTTCAGGTCCTGGAACTGGTCGATATTTGAGAAGACCTAATATCCTTAGATGCCTAATTCCGAGGATTACTCAAGACCTCTAATGTATACCATACGAGGAGAGTACACAGGGCCCCTAATACTGACTATACTAGGGTGCCTAGGGTCCCTAATAGTGACGAGAGGAGGGTACTCAGGGTCTCTTATGTTGACTATAGGAGGGTACCTAGGGTCCTTTATCCTGAGTATAGGAGAGTAGTACCCTTCTATACTCAGGATAAGGAATCCTGGGTACCCTCCTCGTATGGTATACACTAAAGGTCTTGAGTAATCCTCAGAATTAGGCATCTAAGGATATTAGGTCTTCTCAAATATCGACCAGTTCGAGGACCTGAAATCTTCATGCAGTTCAGTTCTTCTCCAAGGTATTGTTGAAAAAGATCAGTTCTCTCAGAAGATCTGTTCTTTTGAAAGGAACTGTTCGAGTAGATCAGTTCTTATCACACATTTTGTTGAACAGTTCATCAGATCGTAACTAAAACTGAATTTGTGCACTCCTATTTTTTTTTACCGGATGTTAAATAAAAGTAAGATAATTTGATCGAGATGGCAATAGGATATCAAGAACCTCTAAGTGCACAATACTCTGTTGAAGTATCATTTATCGAGTAGAGACTAAAGTTCAGCAGATTTTATTATGTTTTCAGCTGCAGTGTGTCCCAAATGTCGCTTGGACAAAATATTTTCTCGTTTGTTCTCTACATCATTAGATGTAATTGATTATTTTTTTTAAATGGTGAGTACCTCTGCCAAGTTTTTATTCATACAATCAAACTTTATAGATATTGTTTAAACGTGTCACCTTTAACTGAAATACACACATTCAGTTTTTTATTAATTTCCATAAGAAACATTGTGCGGTGTTTCTTTTTCTATTGCTTCAATTTCCACCGTTATTGTGTTCTTTAAATCAACAACTTCTAATAGCGTTTTCCAAAGGAACATCAGACATATTTTGGTACTGTACATGTCGTCTTACTGTTATAAGAGACTTCAGCTGAGCCATTAGCATCATAATTTGAGTCCATGATTGTAAATAAACCGGCATATCGGTTTGTTAGAAATGATACACATGAGATTACTTTACGGTCATTTAGAGAAGGATTAGACAACTTTCTAACGAGTATAAATGACTATCACATGATTTGTTAAAAACCGGTTCTCCTGTACATATCTCGAAAGGATTTTGTTCTTGGCTGACCGAAAAGTTCGATGATGGATGGATTGAAAAAGGTGAAGCAATTTCATAGGCCTCGAGATCCTAGACTTCACATCATTCGATTTGTTCTTATGAGGACTCATCAAAACGAATATGTATAAAGCGAAAGTGAAAGATATAGTTGGTTTAAAGTTGATTATATAGAACAAGCAGAAAATAATAAAATTTTCCAATAGATTTTTCGACTTTTTATCGACTACCTTATTTAATATAATATCTAAATAATATTGGTATTCGTATTCATAAGAAAATTCTTATCTTACTTGTTTACAATCAGTACCCATGCATTGAACTATATCTGTATCTGTCTTGAGAAAAGCTTGAAATGATGCACGTGCTAATCTCTGCATATCTGGTGGATCAATTATTGTTTTAATGTCTCGTAGTGAGAGTACTGAATTACATTCTTGCATTATGCATTTAATCTTAAAGCTCTGATTGCTAAGTGTTGTATCGAATTTTTTTGATAATTCTTGTTTAAGACAATATAAACATGAGACATGTCCACACTCTAATAAAGTATAATTGGCCACTTCATAACAGATTGGACATTCATTGCTGGTCGTAGTTGTATTCTCTTTAGGTACTGATTGTTGTTCTATAAGTGTTTCTGACCAATGCTTTTTAATTGCTTCTTCAGCTTTTTCAATGTCCTGTTGTTTACCAATAACTTGTATTTGACGTTTAGCACCTGCTATAATTATTTTAACATTGAAGTCCTTTCCAATCGTATCTTGATAATATGTACCCAATTTTAGTATCTGTCGTAGGTAACCTGTTATTGCAATGAAGAATAACAAACTCATTAGAAAAACTAGAAAGAACATATTA